TCTAGGTGGGTGGCCGTCTGCCTTGACCAATACAAATCATAACCACGGAAAACAACTCAGTTAAATACTGACACTGGCAATAGACTTTTTTTCAACTGATTAATTTCTGCTGGAAAAATCAGATCAGAAACCAGAAATCCAAATTACCGGTAAGTAAGCAGACCATTTTCATAGTTTGTTCTTGGTATATGCTGAGCCTTTTGGGAAAGGAGTGGATCATTTAGTATCAGAAATTCTGGACCCGGAATCTGATTTCTCTTTTAATCTTTTTGTACCTTAGAATTATTCCTAAAGGTCTGGCTCCTGAGGAACCATCCTAACATTGCCCTTCTTATCAACATCTTATCAACTCCATTTGCTCTGTGGAGAAAATGACTTTCAGTCTTCGATTGCATTCCTTCATCTGAATCTTTTATATGCATTATTAACTGGACCCGTGCCTTCTTCTATGTTCATGCAAATCAATCAAAAAAAACAAACAAAAAAACCCCAACCCCAAAACATAATATTGCACCATAACATTATAATACTAAATCATACTATTATAGTCTTATTATCATCATCATTATTAGATTGTAAACATCAAAAAGTTCATAACCGTATAAAATTAAAAAGAATCTGACCAAGTCTCTGGTGTCAAACTATTTCACAGGTATTGAGAAGTTTTGGTCCCACACCCGGTCTTAAAGTGGACACAGCAGACTGCTGGAGAACCAACACAGATTATAAAAGAAAACTCAAAGGAAAAACATTACGGGTTCCTAAGCACACAACTGACAGCTTGGCTTTCAGGGGACCTTGGAAATACCTTGAGTCATCCTCAGCGCCGACCACACTTTGGCACACATCAAATCACCACTGTGCCTCTTGTTTCTTTTTAGAGACCCGCCCCTTCAGGGAGCAGCGGTGATTGATGGCTCGGCTGACTATGCCGAGGTCGACCTCACCGCTGGGGCCAGGCCATCCAAAACCCAATACCACTGAGCAAATATTATGGGTTAGAGTTAATTGTGCATGTGGGTCAGGTTCAATTACACCCAGCTAAAAGAGTCCATTCACCGGTGCACCTTTACATAAACCAAGGTGGAGGAGGAGATGAGCCCGCCCAAAATGGAAAGAAAAAATTCACACTCGAGCAAATAAACTCTGTACATGTGTCAGTATATTTTTCTTATTTGCAAGGATAACTGGGTAGACGTGATGTCATGCTGAGATATTTTCAGTGCAGCTACAGTGAACATACACATCTCACAATTAGAGCCCGACCTATACTGGGTTACTGAGGCCAATGCTGATATCAATAAATGAGAATTAATTAATCTGATAACAGTAGACTACAGTAAGTAGATATTCCTATTAAAACAAAAATGCACATAGATAAATATAAGTGATAAGACTTCCTTAAATTTGGTTATCAGAGTACGGTACTGAGTTGGACAGTTTACTGTTAAAAGATAATCTTGTGAGGACTGATAGAGATAATGCTTCTAAATGACCTCAATGGAACAGTATGTTTGATATTTCTGTGCTGACATTTCCGACATTACTCGTTGGCCAAATGCAGAGAGACATATATCTTATAACATAAAAATTAGGGTTTCTGCAGGTTTCAATTTTAGATTTTCCAAGAACTTTTTGAGACCATTCTGAATGCAATTTGAGACCCATTTCATGTTCATACTAGCAAAAAAAGTCAGAGGAATATGAAAGAAAGAAAAGGTATTGGTCATAAAGTGCAACTTTATGCAGGTAAGTTAACTTCGTTTATCAAATACATTTTTAAGAACGGTCAAAATCATATTTAAGATTAAAATTAAGATGATTGTATTTTAGACTTTTTTAGCCCCTGCGGACACCCTGTAGTAGAACAAGGTGCTGATCATGAACAACAAAGTCTCCAAGACACCAGTTTGTTTTTAAAGCCATTTTTGGAAAGTGATCTGCTGTCTCTGTGGTTCCAGTAGGTTGTTGTTTCCCTCGGGATAAATAAAGTATCTATCTAATGTAAAGTACGGTTATATGCTATTTCACCAATTGTTACATTTTTGTATTTTATGCATGTGAAAAAAATGTGTAAAGTATGCATATTAGTAGCATGATCATGACAACTACTAGGCTAATAATTTAGAGTTTTCCCTCAACAACCTCCAAATTGCTACGTATTCATAAAAAGGAAATTGTTCTCAATATGCTTTGCTCAGTATGGGCCTTATAAAGCTGAAGTACCAAAGTAAGTTTAATAACACTTAATAAAGGTGGTCTATTCTTATATAAAAAATTTAATAAAAAAAAAAATACAATACAAATACTGGATCATAATTAAGTAAGACAGTAAAGATGGATTGTGATCATTTTAAATAAAGGGGTAGAAGCAATACATTTCATGAGTTTGGTTAATCTGTAAAAAATATTAGATATGAAACTAAATTAATCTTGAGATGAGATTCAGTAGACAAATTCCTCATGTTCTAGCTGCAACACTTTCCTGACCTACCTTTTATTAATCGGTTAAAAAAATAATCTGTTCCTCTGCAGATTTCAAGTAACAGGTCACGTTATGTTTAAAATGGGAGTAAAACCCTGAGGCTACATGAATACACAAGATAAACCCAGCTACTGTGAAGTCAGCTCAGCATCTTGGCTGGGGTTCAGTAGTTCAGGTTAAAAAGGTTAATATTATCTGAAGGAGCGTCTGAGTGGCAGAGATGCACAAAGTAACCACTGACCTGAACAGAAAACTTGCCAGTGGTCGCAGAAGCTTTCAAAGAGGAACAGGGCTGTGTCGTTTATTAACATGGCCTTGGTTTAAACCCAGATGCCAATCACAGAACAATGCCAGTCACTACGTATTTGCCCTTTCTACGCAGACTGCTTTGTAATGAGGCCAGGCTAGACTGCAGACCTGACCGTAAAACAAAAGACAAGACTGGCAAATAAGAAATTCTTTAGTGAGGCTTGTGGCTCGTATATGAGCTCCTTCCGCTCGCTGATTTACCCTCTTCTCCCTAATGCAGCCATTCATCTCAGCATCGGTTGTGCAGGAAATGCCCGGCGTTTTTGGTGGCAGGTGTCCACATGTGCGGTGTCGAGAAATAGAAAAAGAACAGCTATTTGTATCAAGCAGGGAACACAGTTTGTATTTCAACTGTAACATTCCTCACTTATCTTGGGCGCGAGTTTTAATAACCAAATTCTATCAAAACTGATCAACCAGTAAGTCATTTTTAGAAGAGGCTGCAACAGTATGAAATCTCAGAAAATATCACGATTTCAGTGTACGGTATCACATTATTAGCAGTTCCAATGAACCTTAAATAAATTAAAGAAGAAATATTGATATATAGATATTAAGTATTGAAGAAATATGTCACAAAATATTAGTAGATTAGTAGATTTCAATATGGTAACATGATAATCGCCAATTTTCATATCATGGTATACCGCTGCAAACCTTTTATGGGTTGGGTTCTAACTGGAAGTCTGTAAATAGCACTTAGAGGACTGTTACACACCTACTCTTTCCTGCCAAATCAAATCATTTGAGCTCTGCTACCAGAGGAGCATTTTAAGCATTGCATTTCATTCAGTAATCAATACTTATATGGTGAACAATAGATCAAATGACCTGGTGTTAACTTAAAAATCTGTGTTTCTTCCTGTTGCTACAGCGTGCTGTTTAAATGCTGTCCGTGCAGAGTTTGACACCAGAAAGAGTTTTCACATTCATCGCTAAATGGAAAGTTTCTCTGTTACGATGACGTCACTCGAATGTGCCTCGAATCAGGCGACTGAGACACAAGCAGACTAGCAGCCTCTCACTTCAGATGTGAATCGCACCAAAGTCATTACTAACGCTATATTACTGTGGATATGCCACAATACTTGTGCCTTCAGGTGTGCATTTAATTTACATGCTGCTCTGTATAACAAGTGCAAGCTGCTGTGGTTCAGGAAGTATCAACAGGTCAGACTCTTACGATGGAGCATACTGACATTTGTGTTTATTTTTACAGAACTAATGAGCTGCTGTTACTTTTCTACATTTTTTGTTTTCCGGAACTGTGAATTTTGTGTTCCTTTACACCCCCTACTGAGCACAACCTCACACTATAGTCTTCTCCACAGTCCTGCTGAGCCAAACGACCCCACACTAATCAGCTAACAAGACGACCCTAGGTTAAAGGGGGTCAAGATTAATCTGCGAAGATTAAAGACCAGAAGGCAAGAAAAATACAAGTTAGTGTTGTAAACCAACTCACAAGATCAGTGGCCCAACAGGTGAAAAAAACTAACTGCAAACACTGCTCACTTCTCACATGTGAAGTATCTATTTTGAAATAACAAACCGGCAGCACCAGCAGCAAATAAAGCATGGAAAAACACAGACAGAAGCATGCTTGTCAAAACAGAAACAGAGAAACACCATATGCACATTGTAGACTAAAACCACCAAGGTGTGAAGGCACACCCACCTCAGGGGACCAAACACAGATGGAAAGAAGAACTTGGAGGATTGAAGTGAGGGGTGGGGGTTGGGGTCAAAATCATGGGGATGCTCCTGATCCCAGACAAACAACACAGAGTGGGGCGAGGTGCTGCCACCAGACTCCCGTGCCTCCCCTGAGAACCATTATGTGTGACGTTTGATACTGCATCTTCAAGGGGTCTTTCAGAGTCACACTGCTTACAACAAGTAACTGTGCAATTAGAAATGACAGAGCTCAACCTGGGAACCCTCCAGTTGTCCCGTGAGCACTGGTGGCCAACCAGCACCAATCTAGCACCCATCTGACACTGACTACCAGCTACCCAAATCCTCCAAATCAGTCTTGTGCTGACATCCTTCTTGCTTTGGCCATACATACTCAGAGCAGACAGAAATTGCCATACTGATGCTGCT